CATTATCCCGCCTAATCCTTTTTTTTAATCTATTTTTTTATAAAATATTAAAAAATCTATTTTCTTTATATAAAAAAAATATTTAGTGCCTTAAAAATGTGAAACGCATTATGGCGCTTATTCTTCGCATTGACGCGCCTAAACTTGTGATTCTTGATTCTCGACACATCGCAACGCATTACGCATTTTAGAACACTAGTTTACCTATTAAACACAATATATAACAAATTAGGCGATATTTCATCAAAATGACTATAAAATAGTTATTTAAGATCTCAAATAAGTATATAAAATACACTTATCACTTCTATATCCAAATTTCAATCCCGCCACCACCACGGTGCCATCAGCGGCGGAGCCGAAGAAAGAAAAAGGAGAAAAAAAGAGAAGGTATGTTATTTATTTAATTATTTTGTTTCTTATATTTGTAGAATTAGATACTTGTGAAATTGTGTCGATACTTGATACATGGATCATAAGTAGCTAATTCACAAATCATACTTGAAAAGTTATGCCGGCATTTTTGGTATTTAAGGCAAATGTGAGATTTTGCTTGGTTTTAAGGACCTCATAATAATTAATAGTCTAAACCTGTTGAGTCAACATTGAATATGAAACATGTAAGGGCCTGTTTTTGGTACAAATTTTCATTTTCTACAGTAAATCAATTCTCATTTTCAACAACACATTTTTCAATAAAATAATATTTTCCATCACATCAATATTATTTTTTTCTTTTTCAACCACACATTTCCCATCATATCACTATTCAAAAATCAAAATTTCCCCTAAAAATCCCTACCAAACACACTCAAAATCTATATGGACGGCCTTCCATAAAGTTGAATTTGAATTGTCGGCCCACTTTTGACAAAGTTAGGATCTGATCATCTTAAATTGAAGAATTAAATGGACTGAATTTATGATTTTGAAATAAGACACTATCACCCCGAGTATGGTGAATTATGAGGGGATAGATTTTGAAAATAACACCCCTATCTAATATTGTAAATGTTACCATCTTTAATCAATGAATATTTTACACTTACATTTTTTAATTTAAGTTGTAAATGTTACCATATTTAATCATTTTTAAAGGCACGTTATTATCGTTCACAAGGAATTTTTTGTAGTTTGGATGTAAACTTGTAACTACACCACACGGTATTGGTTGCCAATTTAAAAAGTGAAATGTTGTATTTGTGAGCAATTCTATTTTTTTTTTTTTACCATGATAATGAAGTATAGTAAGTAGTTACGTTAAAAATAACAAACTAGATACAACACGGATGGGAATGCGTTAAAAAATTTCTTGAGAAAATTACCTGAAATCATGTTTTTTAAGTTTTCATATCATTAATCAAACATTATTATTTTTTTCAAAAATCATATGGTCACACTTACATAATATAACTGGTTACAAACACAA